AATCGATAGAATACAGTTCCAAGTTCTTTCTATTTTAATTATGACGAAAGCTGTCTTTATTTGGGGGAAAAATATTAATGGTGCACATTTCCGCGTTCTAAATTTAAATATATTTCATATTTTCTGTGTATGAAACATCTCGTCATCTATGGATACTTTTTATTTCTTACTAAATTAGTAACTAATATAAATGATATCTTCACTAATTGTCCAATGACTTCAACATTTTTTTTAAGCGAAAGGATTTACTCCCTCCTTATCTATGGTCTATACTATTACTTTTGAAACAGTATAATTTATTTTTCTATTTTGTGAAGTTGGTTACGATTTTCTTTTACGAATATTATAAACTTGAAAAAAAAAAAACCCAATTTTTGGTCGTTTAATAATAAAGTCGGGATAATTCGATGAGCTTTCATGTACTCGTATTTATTAGTTTTTTATAATAATTTATTACTGTGATAATCTTCATAGAAACTACGAAACCTCCTACAAAATTAGTTTTGTTCAGTTGGCTAACGTAAACATAAATACGGCCCGCAAAGGATCAGAACAAATAATGGTACAAGAAGTGATAGCAAGTTGAAGAGAAATTGGCTGGCGTGCCGCCAGAGTTTCCAAACAAAACTCTGTAACCATAAAATGTACGGAAATAAAACTACATAAAAATAAGGCAAATAAATATACGACGACTCACGACTATAAGCACTAATGGGTATTATAGTACATTACTGCAGCGGCCAGCAACTGAGGCATTGATGGACAAATATGCAAATGTGGGCCGAGGCGTAGCCGAGGCACATATACGTGAGTCCATCAATGCCTAGTTATGGCCAAGGCTTGTATAGTACTTTTCTCAAACAATGCGCGGAAATCAAAAACACAAATTTACTTTTTAAGTTCAATGACGAATAACGAACAATAATAATTTTTCACGCACCATAATGTTTCTTTGTATTTTTTTTTTCAATAAACAGCTTTCTATTTGCAAGCCAGTTCGAAATTTAAATAAAATCTTTTATTACTTGTAGTTACCTCCTTGGTAGCCATGTTTTGAAGTAAAAGGTCATTCAATTTTTAAATTACAGGACAAATATGAGTTTACATAGTAATTTATCTGGCCGCATAACACGACAGATATGGATTTTCATACAACTTTTGCCGGCCGCTGCCTGCATATATCTGGCCAGTACGGCATTTTTTATTTATCTCGAAGAAGATTGTCAAAATAATGCTCACATTTCCAAGTATGTTTGGGAAAACATATTTAAAATAATAAGAGAGGCTTGGTCTTTTAAAAAAGGAATATATATGTGTTTTCAGACACAAATCCATTTCTGCTCGGATCCAGGATAGGCACCAGACATTTTTGGGGTGGGTACGGTCCACCTGCTCCCCCCTCCCCTCTTAAATACGCCTATGCTAATGGGGCAGCCAGAGACATTGGTCGAATTTTTTGAACGTAACTTGACGTGACCATATTTGTCCAAGCATATTGGAATCTATAGTGAAGCGGTAGCGGTAGGCTATCATCGCTTGAATTAATTTGGTTTATAATCGATGTTTTCCATTATTGAAGAATTAGTTGGAAATAAAAAAAAAATCTAAAATGTTGACGATTTTTTAAGTGATAAATTTTAATATGTTTCTCTTTTGACATTTGCTATTGACATTATATTTTTATTTGACTTTTTGTTTGTTTTGAATTTTATATGATTTTATTTGACTTTGTTAATATGGTTTTGTTAATATTGTTCTCTCCTATACAATCCTACAATAACATTAAGTATTTAGTTTATATCTAATCTTCACAAAACATTAATATATTTTGTAAGGCATAGGTAGATAGAAAGCATAGATTTACTTTGTAAGGCACTTGAAATTGCCACTGTCCTAGAAATAATATTTTGCACGCTAATGTTAGCAAAACATGTTAGAACTATACAAATCCTTGAATGAACAACAAGTTTGTCTTTGCACTTACTATGTACATATGTTTGCAAATAAATTTATCTTTATCATTATTAACTTTAAGATTGTGTTCCACAAAAAAATATCAATAGTGAGAAAACCAGTTATTTTTATTTCAAATTAAATTACTGAACGGATTTTGGTCAAAATTATTATTATTATATAATTAAATATCAATCTGTAAGTATATTCTTTAGGCACGGTTTTTCTTAATTGCTTTATAACAGGCGGTGTTTTGAGATAACAAACATAAAAAAACAACCGAAACGAGAACTAACTACTTTTTGAAGTTGGTTGAAAGAAGCCTAAATTCTTCTCCAACCTAACACCACGTTTAGTTATATCTAATTGAATAACTGTTAATTAAGCTGTTAATTTTTTTTTATACAACTTAGAATGGCAAATAAGCTGACGGCCCACCTGATGGAAAGTGGTAACCGTCGCCTATAGACATGAGCAGTGCCATGGACATAACAGAGTATACTGTTTCGCCCATGATACCCCCTATGTGTTGCCATTGCTGAGGACTCAGGTGTTATTCCTCTGTACTCAGTAAATTTATGTCATATTCCACCCTTCAAACCAAAACACAGCCATGCAAACACAACTGCTTCACGGTTGAAACACGAATGGGACAGAGGTGCCCAAGCAAACGACTTTTATACAACGTCTCCCTCTGGTGTTAATGAGCCAAGGGGTAATAGATATACACATTTATAATATTAATAATTACTTAAGAATTATCATAGATAGATATTAGTTTTTGTTCAACCTTATGCTCCCGGCATAGAATAGGTCACGGCTTCCTTTCCCGTGGGTGTCATAAGAGGCGACTGTGGTTGTTAACTCGTCTGCCGAGGGTGGCAACTACTGACAAAGTACCCATTTATGAGGGAGGCTTATGTTCAGTAGTGGATATTAATTAACGGTTGATATAAGTAATCTTTATTGTTCCCACCAAAAGTATATTATTTAAAAAAAATCTATATATGTATATATATGATATATTAAGACCTATTATTATCGTGTAGTGTAGGGTTCAATGCACTCATGTTTTATATTTTTTGTGTTCAATAAATAAATAAATAAGATCATATTGCTAAGACTCTGTGAACTCAAATCGTGTAATTTAGATGCATAGATGCACATCAGCAGTATAATATAAGAGCTAGACAGAAAAAGAGCCGCAATATCGAAGAATACCCGACACGGCCGTAGAATATTAATTGCCGAGGCGAATAACTTTTTAAATTACAACCAAAGTACAAGGCAAGTGGATCACTAATTAGAGGTTTGTTTAAACGGCTTCCTATAACATTAATTCGAAGAGATTTTACCTCTTAATTCCAACATTATTGGTTTGTTCCCTTTTATTATAAGATAATAGTAGATATTTTATTTAAGACGATGGAAATTTTTGTACATAATTAGTAGGCATTGATAATGTGGATACCGATCCGATATCTATATATTGGGTTCCTCCAGTTATTGAGGGAGAACAAGGGATGAGCAGCAGCGTCGCTCTTAAAACATCTGTATAAGCCTAACTGTAGTTGCCAAGCCTCCTGCCAAACGTGGCAACTACTGGCAAAACCTCCTTTATGGGGAAGACTAATGTTCAGCAGTGGACAGTTAACGGCTGAAATAATAAAAATAATAATGTTAAATTTTTTTTATTTATACAACTTAGAATGGCAAATAAGCTGATGGCCCACCTGATGGAAAGTGGTAACCGTCGCCTATAGACATGAGCAGCCCCATGGACATAACAGAGTATACTGTTTCGCCTATGATACCCCCATGCGTTGCCATTCCTGAGGACTCAGGTGTTATTCCTCCGTACCCAGTAAATTAACGCCATATCCCACCCTTCAAACCAAAACACAGCCATGCAAACACAACTGTTTTACGGTTGAAACACGAATGGGCATATCTTAACTACTACATGGATACTATGGGATCAAATGACCTAATATCAATTTATATTCAAGAAGGGCACGGCCTTAACAAAATCTTTAATATTTTTTTCATATTATATTGGACATTAACTGTTTGCTCATTACTTCGTACGTTTGAATTTCAGATGTAGTAAAACCAATGAAATAGCCCACTTCTCTATGGCGTAACAACATGAAATAAATATACACTAGATTTTACGTTAGACTTTTAGGCATACAGCTATGGAAACCGCATCCAATCTAAGATCGAGTTCCCAATTTTATATTTTTTTATCTGTCTTCAGAACTTGATCAGTTTTCGATTGAATCACAGCAAGAATGCATTGGAATTTGTATACGATTCATATCAAATTTAAAGTTTCAAATAAAAGTAAAAGTTCACGCAGTTTTAATAACCTTCTTCGTAAATTTTGCGCTCACTCCATTTCCTTTTATTCTAATTCCTTTACTGTGCAGACAGTTCGTTTGTAGAACTTACTACCTGCCTCTATTCGGTGTGCTCAATCTCTCGCTAGCTTTAAAACCTCTGTTAAATCCTATTGTCTCTCCCATTAAGTGCTATTTTCCCGTGTTCTCTTTTCATCTTTCAGTTTCATTCTCTCCTGTTGTATGTGTGCTTTAAGTTTGTTTATGTTTATATTTGTTTATACGTATATATGTTTGTATATATTAATTTACATATATAATTGTGCGTCACCTAACCTATGTCTTTTTTTCTTTTCTCTATGTCCTCTACCTAAAGGTTGTCTGGTAGAGATTGCTTAGCAATAAGCGCGTCTTTTGTATCATTTCTCATTACAGATAAATGTATTTACTATTTTATAAATGGTGCAATAAAGTGTAAAATAAATAAACAAATAAAAGTCTTAAAACTGCAAGATTTAGATACAAAAGTGAAAATCTGTAAGTACTTTATATTGCTAATATTAAGTCCCAAATATCTACATTAAGAAATCTACTCAACTTTAGATCAATCTATTAAAGCTCAACATTTATCTAAGAAAAAAAAAATATCGTTAGAATACCGAATAAGGGATAAAGTCGAAATGAGGGTTGTGTCAAGGGTACAGATGGGCAAAGCACCGGGTTTAAACCCGGTGCTTTGGTAAAAACCCAATAAACACCCATAAACTCCCATAATCACCCAAAAAAAATAGGTTTTTACGTATTTTTTTGAAAATATGTAAGTAATACCAATAAATTATTTTTATAAATTGTATTGATCAATTCTACAATATTAAATAAAACGTTAACTAATAATATTTCAGGAAATTTTAAAAATCTATATATAATAAAATGAAAGTAATTAATTTTCAGTGTTTTCATGTTGCAGTTGATCAACATGTTGGCCTTTTGCTTCCCGTAGATACTTTAAAATTTCTTCATAACACCTCGTTCGCACACATGGCCGTATATATTTAAATTCTTGAGCCACTAACAGTCCGAAATACTCATTTCTTTTATCCTCTTCTCCATAAATTAAGCATTTAGAACAGTTTGTTTCTTCTTTCAGTAAATTTTCTTTTACTTTATCCTCGTTTTTTTCTTTGTTGCGACGACGCTGGGTAAATCATCTGGACACTGGGTCTCACTATCGCCAAATATATTTGGAGATCGGCTTCGGCTACGGCTTGGCAGACATTTTTTTCTTTCTACAATTTTAAATTAAATTTATTAGAATAAATGCTTCGAACACACGCGATCTAAGTACCTTTTGTGTTTATTATACCTTACCTACCTAGGTATAAAAAGAGTACTTACGTAGATTTTCTTTTATTAACTGTTTTATACGAAGATCTTGATCTCTCAAATTAGCATCCATTTTACTTCCAGTGATTATCAACTAAATTAATAATCCACAAAGTATTAAATAACGTTTTTATGAAATATTTAGCACAAAAACAATACCCTTTAAATATCGATCGTCAGTAACTGTGGCTGACTTACCTATATTCTAGCAAGCAGGACTGCCAGATGTGAAGGGGAAATCCCCAATAAATTGTTGCATGTGACTGATGATGTGAGCATGTTCGTTTCATAATAAAAATGTTGCCAGGTAACCAAAAAGTCGTATGTTTTTGTGCGAATTACGATCATAATCTTTACGATCGTACATTAAAAAATAGACAAATAATAGTATGAGTACGATTTAAATCGTATATCTGTCAACCCTGCTAGCAAGACAGCGACAAAATTACGTTGCATAACAATGTAGCCCAAGCTTATATCTTATGAAATATACGGAAGAGATACGGACTTAGAAAAAACAGAAATGTTGTTCTTTGTGGAAGTCATTGATGAAATTCTATGTATTTTAGCCCGCAAACTTTCTTCAAACAAAAACAGCGCCATCTAGTATCGAGTTCTGTAATTATCTCTTTGTTTATGGATTTGAAGTAAGACCGCCACGCATGCAATACATTATGACTGGGGATTCCCCTATTCGTCGACGCTGAATATGAGGCGACGACAATCACTGTCAAACGTGTTCACTATTACTCTGACTCTGGTAACGTGACTTCCTGGTAACGTGTTAGGTAGGAAAAGCAGTAAAAAAGTGCATATTAAGGGAGCAGATTTGAAATAATATTTATACTTAACAAGAAATAATTAAAGGTAAGTGGATTTTTGAATGATACAATTATATCATGATCACTTAACAATTTTAACTTAAAATTAGATGTATTATTACAAGCTTTTATTTAGCTTGCGTTATGTAAATAAAAGTATGTAGGTATGTTCGTATGTTGATGCAATTATCCTCAATCCTCAACCGACTGGGATAAAATTTTCCATACACGTTTATTTTGGATGATAGTGCATAGTTAGCTGAGAGTCGTCATTGGATAATAATGGTGGATAGCCTAAGATGTGTACTAGATATTTATTTTTAACATAATATGCGTAAGTACCTAATCGAATTAAAGAAGTTGCTGAGAAAAATACAGAACAATACGATAATAAACTAGCGTCTGCGTTTAATCCTCCGAGGAGATGTAATTTTACAAAGGTTTTTTGTATTTATTTTATTATTTTTTTAATAAATTTATTGTAAATAACAAGAAATAATCATTGTAAAAAAATAGGCACTCTATTGTTGAATTTTCGTCAGACCAACTAATCATCGTTCATTTTTTTAGGTTCAATGGGGAGACCTAAAGATTTACGCATATGGGAGCACTACCGTACTTTACCAAACAAGTCTGTTTCTTGCAAGCTTTGTAATAAGGTCTACAAATTCAGTAATGCTGCCAAAATGCTTCAACATCTTATCACTTGTCCAAAATCTCCAGAAACATTAAAAGACTCTATGAAACTTATAAAAGATAGCTCGTCCAAAACCAAAATGTCTGGACTGTCAGAGATAGAGACAAATGATTCTTTTATAAGCCCCTCGTCGTCTGCTAACACTACAATAAATGCTGAGTTTCAAGACACCGATGATCATATAAAAACAGAATTAGCGAGAGCTATATTTGTAACAGGGACGCCATTATCGATGGTGCAACATCCTTTATGGATACAATTTTTCGAAAAATTGCAACCAAAATTTAAAATACCTTCACGTAAAGCTTTAGCGACAAAATACTTAGATAAAATATATAGAGAAATGCGTTTTGAGTTAAATGAGGAACTAAATGCTTGTAGTTACTTACACCTTCAGTGCGATGGCTGGTCTAATTTAAGAAATGAAGGAATAATAAACTTTCTTATATCAAAACCTCAACCTGCATACGTTAAAAGTTTGAATACAGAAAGTAATCCTCACACTAGTGAATACCTTAGCCAAGAAGTTGAAAAAGTAATGAAAGTGTATGGAGCAAATAAGTTTCTTGTACTTATTGGCGATAACGCTAGAAATATACAAAAGGCATTCGAATTAACAAAACTCAAATATCCACATGTTGTTCCTCTCGGTTGCTGTGCACATATCCTTAACTTGTTGTGCCAAGATATTGTAAAGATACAAGAAGTAACTGTGTTTATTATGCAAGCCATAAATATAATAAAAACTGTTAAAAGGAGTCAACGATTAAGTTCCTTGTTGATAAAATCAAGGCAGGGTGAAGATTCTACACAAACACTAAAATTGCCTTGTGCTACAAGATGGGGAAGTCATGTTACTTCGTTAAAAAGTTTGAAAGCAAATAAGATAGCTTTGCAAATATTAACAGTTAGAGAAGATGTGGTAATTTCAAGAGATATTAAAGATTTAATTCTAAGTGATGATTTCTGGACGAAGACAGGGGAATGTATAAGTATTTTGGAACCAGTCACTGAAAGCATATTTTACTTAGAGAGCGACCAGAATCGTTTGCATCGCACATACATTACATTTAGAGATGTACAAGCTAAGATACGTTTTGCATTAAATGAGATTTCGACATTGAGCGAAGAAAGCAAACAGCAGATTCTAACATCAGTATCTTCAAGATGCAATATGGCAATGAGGCCAATACATTTTGCAGCATATATTCTAGACCCCAGGACTCTAGGAGTCGAACTTACTCAAGAGGAAGAACTTAAGGGTATGGAGTTTATCTACAATTTAAGCCAACACTTAAGTTTGTCAAATGTAATGGCAGATTTGGCGTGTTATAAAGCTAAAGAAAACTTTTGGGCCAGAGGATTTGTATGGAGCTCATTAGATAGCATTGAGCCCCTAATATGGTGGAAAGGTATTTGTGGTTCCACTGAGTTAAGCAAAGTAGCGATTCGTATTCTATCAGCTCCCTGTACTTCGGCAGCCACTGAGCGTTCCTTTAGTATCCAAGGCTACATACATAATAACAAAAGAAATCGACTTACAACTGAAAGAACTGAAAAAATTTCATTCATTTGTTATAACTGGAATCTTAAACATAAAGCTGAATGCGAGGACATTCAGTTTAATGAAGAAAATACCTTAGAAGCTTTCATTGAGCAAGTAAATGAACATAACAGTTTAGACGAAATAGAGCCTATCGAACCTATACAATTCATCGCTTGTAATAACTCTGAATCTGACAGTGATTGACTGTAGTTTTACATTTTACTTTCATCTCTTTCTTAATAAACTCAAAATCAAATTAAAAGTTTTTTATTCTGTAGGCTGCATAATAATATTGTCTATGTCCAGTATAGTGGACGTCTTGCGGCTGAGATGACGATGATGAAGTACAAAATCATAAACACCCAAAAATTTGGGTGTTTATGGGGTTTAAACCCAATAAACCCAAAACACCCGGTTTTTACCCACCAGACTTTAAACCCACCCAGGTGGATTGCCCATCTCTAGTCAAGGGTCGATTTATTAAAGCTAAGTAACTACACATAATAGATAAGTACCTCACAAATAAGGCACAATACAGAATATGTGTAGAGTGTTTAATATCAAACATAATTACATTGTTTTAGCGACATTCGTGATCTTGGTAGTAGTAGCTGGTATGACAGGGGGAGGTCTATGTTCAGCAGTGGACTGATGGCAGATATGGCGTGAATTTACTGGGTACAGAGGAATAACACCTGAGTCCTCAGGAATGGCAACGCATGGGGGGTATCATGGGCGAAAAAGTATACTCTGTTATGTCCATGGTACTGCTCATGTCTATAGGCGACGGTTACCACTTTCCATCAGGTGGGCCGTTACCTTGTTTGCCATTCTAAATTGTATAAAAAATTATAATATTACTAGCTTATAACAACAATCTGTGGGACCGGAATATGTTCATTGACTGGGATCAAAAGTAGCCTATAACCTTCTCCATTTCATATAGTACTTGCATACCAAATTTCATAGTAATTGGTTAAGCCATTAGGGCGCCATAAGGTAACAAATAAAGTTACTCACGCATTTATAATATTAGTAAAGATAAGGACACTTAAATACCTATTTATACGCTAAAATACCTATTCTAAAAAGTCCTAAAGTCTCTATTTCGTGACAAAAATCTTTGGTAACTTTGACGGAATGGCAACATAGTTGGTTACCATTCTCGTTCTCGTCCATTCCTCTAATCCATCTCATCGCAAATCCAACGCCAAGCGTGGCCTATCCACAACTTAGGCACTTAAGTGTGAGGAAGCAGCAACAAAACAAACTGCCCTGAAGTTATTTATTCAGTCGATATCGACCGTCTCTGGTCGAATACGTGACCGACCTATGTAAGTTGATTGCCTCGCCTTCAGTTAGCGTGGAAAAATAAATTTGTCGTTAGAAATGAAGGAGCGCCTAGAACTGTTTCGTACTATCAAAGAATGAGTACTCTAATAGTATTTGACGTCGCTACAATTTATTAGTATTTGATAAGTAGATTGTTGGATGACCCCCCACTAGATGGAGTGAAGATCTCAAATGCTATGTAGAAATTCAGTGGATGCAGGTGGCTTAGAACCGTTCCTTTTGATAGTTTATGGGGGAGGCCTATGTTTAACAGTGGACATACAGTGGCTGAGATGATGATTTATCAAATTATTCTACGAAGGAGGTTGTTACTTAGTTTTTTGTGTATATGTTGAGCGATATTCCCGTAAATATGTACCTCATTTGATTATTATCTGATAAAGTTTAACTCCTTTTTGGTCTCATATAGTTTAATTAAGTACAAAATCTGTCTTTAATAGTGAAGCGGTTTTTAAAAGAATTTTTTTTTTAGTATAATCACATATCTAATAATCTGTCCAGAGGGAGACTTTGTACAAAAGTCGTTTGCTTGGGTAACTCTGTCCCATTCGTGTTTCAACCGTATAGCAGTTGTGTTTGCATGGTTGTGTTTCGGTTTGAAGGGTGGGATATGGCGTGAATTTACAGGGTACAGAGGAATAATACCTAAGTCCTCAGGAACGGTCACGCATGGGGGTATCATGGACGAAACAGTATACTCTGTTATGTCCATGGTACTGCTCATGTCTATAGGCGACGGTTACCACTTTCCGTCAGGTGGACCGTCAACTTGTTTGCCATTCTAAGTTGTATAAAAAAATATCTAATAATGTTATATTTTTAATGCGTCGTACAATAAAAATGTAACGTAATTGTAAAGGTTGTCTGAATCCCAAAAATAGATTGAAATCATCGAATTAGAAATACAATCGTGGGCGAGCGACCTGAGACTAATATGGGGTTCGGATGCGGTGTTGGCAATTGTAATGAGTTCCAACAAATAGGAGGTATTAGCAAAAATATACTCACAATTATACCCTCATACACACATTCATAAAAATATACTCATAGCTGTGTAGGTCTCGGCATAGTATAGGCCACTCCTTCCTTTCCCGTGGGTGTCGTAAAAGCCGACTAAGGGAGCTTATGGTGGAGAAGTGAGCAGCAACATTCATCTTGAAATATGACCAAAAGTCAAATTGTAGTTGCCAACCCGTCTGCCAAACGTAGCTACTACGGGCAAAACCGGGAGGGATTATGAGGGAGGCTATGTTCAGCATTGAACGGCTGATACACCAACTCACAGTTGTATTTATTGACTAAATAAAGTTCTCAATATCGTTGGCAAAAAAATTTACTCTTTTATGTATATAAAATGCTTTGGTCTACAAAAATAACAAGACATGATGGGCATTGCAATGTGTTCTGTGATGTCTACAGTTACAATTATTTGCAGTTCCACGTTGTATACAAACGTTTCAATAGGAAAGAGTAAATTTATTTATTTAAAGGAACACCAACAGCATATTGAATTATAGCATATATAAAAAACATTAAATATAATACAATATTAATGCACATGCCTATTATAGGCAAAGGCGAACTTTGTTCTAAATAGCAGCATGCAGTAATAAAACATATATGTATTTGAGATATAAAATAATGAGTTCAGTGAAAAAAATACAAGACATATCTTATAAAATTCTGACATAGAACAAAATTAAAAATAATACATTGTTCTAAAAAACCTTTGTATCAACAGCCAGTATTAAAACTCCAACAAACTTTTCTCTAAAAGAGATTTTTTCCAGTCAACCTAACACAGTGACATAGGAAGTAGTGAGTGTGCAGTATTGTAGTAGTATAGCAGCAGTTTTATCTTCATACACTGAAATTTCTCTATCCCTAACTTAATCTATCCGGATGGGAGGGATTATTAGTAATACGGAACACCAGTCTAATTGCAGGTTTACATCTACATGGTCCCTGAAAACCTACACAATGGTTTTCAGGGACCATGTAGATGTAAGATTTCATCAATCAATTCCAGATGTATACGTTACGAAGAGCTAACTGACCTGCCATTTTATTCTCATTCCATTATCATCCATTAAAAAAAAAACTTAATCTTCCCTTTGCATTGAAATATAGTTACACAAATTTAGCTGTTTGACGGAAGAAACACGTCAGGGACAGAGGTATCAAACTCTGCAACTTGAAATAGGTTGTGGCGGTATACCATAGCACTCTGGAAAGGCATCGCATGAGAGGCACCATAGGTACAATGTATGCTGTTTATAGACAATAATTACCACTTTCCATCAGGTAAGCCGTCAGCTTGCTTGTCATTCTACGTATCATAAAAAAAATCGCCTAAATTTCAAACCACTATATTCGTCAGTCCTTACTATTAAAACCGGAACTAGTAGTGTTGGGGCTATTTGTTTTTATTTAATGATAATGGAAAACAAATTAAACCTGAAGTATCGGTATACGATAGTTGGGCACTAGTTAATTAATTACATGAGGACAAAATCACGTCAGTTAGCCCATCGTGCCGAATTCATCAGGAATGATATTGAAACCACATGGAAATCAAGCTGATATATTGCTAACAATCAGGCTGTTTGATCCCATTCCTAACAATTCTATTCCCCCCTATTGGCACTATTAGGCCTTATAGTTCCGATAATGAAAATACAATCTAAAGGAAATAATGTTTTTCCTCCTCCCTGTCATAATATTGACATTAATATTATGAAATCTTTATTGCAGATGAAGCTCACGTATTGAACGTATTTCACGGGCCCGGCAACTGTCAGCAACACTCAATTTTTTATTTCCTATTTATTTCCAATCGCTTTGTATTGTTTACGTAACGTTTCATAAGGTATCCTCCGTTAAATTGTAAATTATATTTATTTAACAGGCTATAAGTATGATGGAGCAACTTGGCTTCACTGAGAACAAATTTTTGACACTAGAATAGCGACACTCTAATTTTAATTAATAGTAGTTCTAATAATTAAAATTGGGTTCTACAAAAAAAGGGTTCAATTGTAATAGAACCAGTTATTATGATTTAAAAACTAAACTAATAACCAATCTGTAAGCCTTTCCTTTTCAGAGTAAAGAAGAATTTTCCAAATCAATTTACAGCTTTAGTTATGAGGTAACAGACATAAAAAAATACAACCGAATGGAGAATCTTTCTTTGTGAAATTTGTTAAAAAATAGATATTCTTTATTATATGTATTTGAACTATGTATTTATGCAGGCGGAGTGCTGATGAAGGGGGATAGGTGAAAATGAAGTCAGGCCAGTTTCCTTATCGTGACTATGTTGATTTTCAGAGGACTGCATAAAGATCGATCAGTCTGGAGTACTTTGCTAGTAATGGGGCTGCTAGTAAACCAATTAAAGTCTCAGTGACTGATATGGGTTTCTCCCGATAAGGCAATTATTTAAAATTTCTCTTACAAGGTTATTTAAGGTTTTGTTATATTTATTATATTTTTTTATAAAAATAATATACTAGACCAACACTATCGAACGCGAATAGAATAATTAAAATCCTCAAGAAATTAAAAAGCTATTGCGTTACATATACACAAAATAGTATATATGTTACGTTACAGATTGTTTGCTATTCTAAGTATCAATTATAAGCAAAAAAATTTAAGCCCTCAATTTTTTTTAAGTTGCTCAAAAATAAACGTTGAATTCTAAACTCCAGGCAGTAAGATCTAAAGCTACGCGATAAAGCAATCCTCGTTTCTACTTAATTATAAAATTAGGGGATATTTTATTATAATTAAGCTCCTCAGGGATTATCTGAGGCCAGAGGGATTTTTGGTTGTTTTCCTTTAGAGCTTGTTTTAATGTCAATGTCAAATGGTACGGTACACTCAGACTCGAATTAATAATTATTATTAACAAACTGTCTTTTACTCACGACTTTGTCTGCGTTATCGTGGAAAAAAGTACTTTCCCTTTTTGTTCTATTTCATATACCAAATTCCATAGTGATTGGCTAAACAGTTAAATCTCTTTCTTAGAGTCTCACAAACTCACTTTTACGTCCTATAAGTGCGAAAGTTTGTCACGAATGGATGGATGTTTGTTATT